ACTCCTCAGATTCCTCCTTCTTCCCAGGGTCCTCTCAGCTTGGCTTTCCCACCTAACCTCTTCCTGCCTAGCTATTGGCCAGTCAGTTTTTCCTTAAACCAATCAGAACGTTCCTTGGCAAAGACACATCTTCACAGTGTAAAAAAGATTATTCCATAACCCAGCTCCATTCAGGTAAAGCCAAACCCTTGACAACACTGAAGAATTCCAGAATGAAACTAAGTTTTGTTAAACTTTTAGATAGTCATTGTTAATCCGGAAGATGGGAGGAGAAAGTCAACCAACACAAGCCATCATGGCCAAATTAATTAAAGCAATTTTTTTTTGTTCGTGTACACTGATTACTTCCCTCTAAGGTGGGGTTCAAGAGGTCAGCCTTGGATGTGAGGAAGACAAGGTTTTTATAGCTCAGGGGAGGGAGTCTCCAAATGGGGGCATTTAGCAGGCAGATAGGTGGGGTTACAGGAGCAGAACAAAAAGTATAACAAGTTAGTCATAAGGACTCCTGAAACAGGCATGATTGCAAGGTGGTCATAACAAGGTTATCATGACAACAGGTGGTCGTAATAACCTTTTGAAACAAAGGGTGGGTTTCAACATGGTCATAACAACTTTTTGGGACAAAAGCATAATTGTCATTTCCTAGAACAGACAGTACAGACCTTTTGTAGTTAAGGTTACAAGTAATGCATTGCCCAATCCTTGAGAAACAGAGGTTTAACCATAAACAGGAGTTGACCTAGTTTGTCTTTACTATGGCTTTCAAGCCTAAGATGGAGGCAGGCTGATTCATCATCATATGGAAAAAGACAGTAGAACATAGCTATCCCCATTTTGGGGAGTAGACACCTCAAGAGCCATACAGAGATGTCTTTATAGTGATGCTAGATGTGCTCCCCTAGGTTTCTCAGTTAGTTTTCAAAGGATGTCCTTACAAGGCTTAAAGGTTAAGCAAAGTCCAAGGATGGTGGCACATAGCTTTTTTTGAGACAGGGTCTGTACATAGCCTGGGCTGTTCTTGGACTCACTATTAGACCAGGCTAGCCTAGAACTCATAGAGATCCACCTGCCTCTGCCTCTCCAGTGCTGGAATTAAAGGTGTGCACCATCCCACCCAGCACACACCTTTAGTCCTAGCACTCAGGAGGCAGAGGCAGCCAGATCTCTGAGTTTGAGGCCAGCCTGGTCTACAGAGTGAGTTCCAGGACAGGCAGGTCTACACAGAGAAAACCTGTCTAGAAACAAAACAAGTGTTTTCTTTAGTGAATGAAATTGTAAGGAGTGTTGCTATGGTACAACTCAATACACATTTGGGCTCTAAATAAGCAAAAAGTTATTTATTTTTCTTTCTTCCTTCTTTCCTTATACTTTTTTTTCTTAGCTAGAGCATCATACAACCCAGATTGGCCTTGAACTCACTATGTAGCTCAGAATGACTTCTGAGCCTCCTGCTTTTACCTCTTGAGTGCTGAGATTATAGGTGTATATTACCATACCTGGTTTGTGTGGTACTGGGGATTGAACTCATGACCTTGTGTATGCCAGGCAAGCCTACTACTGTCAACTGAACTACATCTTCAGCCCCTATTTGCTGTTTTCAACATCCTTGCTTGAATGTCTTGTTTGCATTATCTTCGTAAGCAGTTTTGGCTTTATCATTTTCCTAACTCTCAATTGGAGGGCAAACCAGACTCCAAAGGAAGGTTTTCTTTTTTCCCCTCTCATGTCCCTTTCAGTCATTATCTGCCCCCAGTCGATTCCTAGGAATACTGTCATGCTGTGACCCATGGCCCTGGGGTCAGAATGGTAGTGTCCTCATGACAGATGGGTAGCTAAGTTCTCAATGGATTTCCTAGAAGCGCTTGCTTAGGACTTCTTGTATCAGTAGGTCATGTGCTAACTTTCTGGAAAATGAGCTCCTTTTCACATAGCTGGGAGAGGGGTAAGAGTCACCAGCTAGTTATTTTTTAATTCAAGTTATTTCCACAGCTATCTTCTGACCATTGCTGATTCTGGACAATGTTTGGGATGGGCTGCCGGTACCAGGTGATGGATGCTAGTGTTAACAGAAGCTCCAGGAGCTGGGTGGTGGTAGCTCACACCTTTGATCCCAGCACTTGGGAGGCAGAGGCAGGCGGATCTCTGTGAGTTCGAGAACAGTTTGGTCTACAGAGTGAGTTCCAGGACAGCCTCCAAAGCCACAGAGAAACCCTGTCTCAAAAAACCAAAAGAGAAGTTCCAAGAGAAAAAGACAGCACCTATATTCACATTCTACAAGACTGATTGACCGATTAGCAGTTCAATGGTTATGGAGACTTGGAATTTGCAGTTCTAGAGCCAAACTCTCTTCAGCTATCTGAGCCCTCTAAATAACCATTTATTGCCCACTTCTGTGTTTGACCTAACATCCTTATGGCTATTAGGTAAATCCTTTTGGAATGTACAAATAGACCCCCAGCTTCCATCAGCTTGAAAGTGAAGAATGTCTTCAGAGACCTACAACAGAGAGAGGCTTTACTGCTTACTCTAACCTGCCTGATGTCTGATTTATGACTTTCTTTATTCTATTACTATAAAATGTAATGAAACTTTTGTTGGGACATAGTATTCAGGGTAATGTAAATCTGTGTTCCCCGGCAATGCTCGCTCACATTCGCCAATGCTCGCTTACATTCGGCAATGTTCCCTCTCATTTGGCTCCTGAATAAATTCCTTTTTTTTTCTGAGACAGAGTTTCTCTGTAGCTTTGGAGCTTGTCCTAGAACTCCCTCTGTAGACCAGGCTGGAATTGAACTCATAGAGATCTGCCTGTCTCTGCCTCACGAGTGCTAGGACAAAAGGTGTGTGCCACCACTGCCTGGCTTCCTGAATAAACTCTTACTCACTTGTAGGCAAGAGAGCTCCGCTTATACATTTTTTTTTACATTGATTCTGATGTCCCTGGAAAAACTGCTTTTGTGGTGGGAGTGGTCACCAACCAGTGAAACGGGGTGGAGAGAGAACTGAGGAGGCAAAGGCTATTCTGCTGGAAAGGAAGGTACATCCTCAGGCCTGAGCTTCAGTAAGGTTAGGGAGGTTACACTTGAGGCCACTTTTGAGGCTGCCATTGGAGGCCTGGGCTTGGATGAGGTTTCAGAGTGGCTCCTAAGAAAATTCACAACATTACCTAGAACTTGCCTGGAGTTCTTCTGGTTCAAATTCTTTTCTCAAACAAAGCTCCATCTCCAGGGCATCGAATGGGGGTGGGGTGTGACCGACCAGGTGAATTTACACAGGTTATAACAATCCAGACCTGAATGACTATATTCTTTTTCTTTTCCTTTAGAATTATTTATTAAATCATAAATGTACAATAGCTTCTTAACTCTACACAAGCACTTAAATTTTTTAAATGAAAAACATTGTCTTATTACACCATGGTCCTGGCTAATAGCTTTTCAGAAAAATCTTAACAAGGTTTAACATGTCACCTGAAACTTACAAATTTAACATTATCAAAGAAGGAATGCTTCTACACTCTTACAAAGACCACTAGAAAGAAACAACAATTAAAAAGCTAAGAAACTGTCTCAAAGGCATTTTTTTTTTTTACAATCCTTCCTCCACAGTAAGGTAATGTTATTAAATAATCCAGTTCATTCACAAAATGGCTCTCTGCATCTGCTCTGGTGTCTTCTGCCATGTCACTGCATAGTTATGCGTGACTGAGATAAGAGTTTCCTTAACATTGTTATTTCAATAACCTGAAGCTGTCCTGTTACCTCTGGGCTGTCATCCTCTCCTATTTATACAGTGAAGCCCATGGTAAGTAGTAAGAAGCTCACTATCGGCTCCTTCCACCATAGCCCTACTTCCTCTACTTCCTCCACCATATGGTCCTCCCATGTTCCTGCTACCACCAAAGTTTCCACTCTTCATTGGGCCATAGTTAGAAGGTTGCTTGTCCCGCGCGATAGTCTTGCCGGCAAGAACCACATAGAACATTTGGATCCTTCTGCAGTAAAGCTTTAATGCGTCTTGAGAGGAGAGCATAAGCTTACCAGAGCGGAGACCCCGAGCCAAGAATCCCGTCCCCTAATAAAGGCTCACAAACTCTGAGCGATGCGTGTACAGCTGGGATAGGTGGATGACTCGTCACCCTATATGACGCCATGGAATAGGCGGGGCTAGGCAGTGGAAAAACACTGAGCACATGGATACCAACGTTGTTTACTTGATCCGGCATCGGATGTCAGCGCCATCTTGTAATGGCGAATGTGAGTGCGGCTCCTCACAGTTGCTGGTTATAATTTCCAAAATCATTGTAATTTCCACTTCCATAATTTCTTCCTCATAGTTGTCATAACCACCTCCATAGCCCCCACCCTGGTTGCCATATCCAGGTCCTCCACCACCATATCCTCCTCTTCCTCCTCCATAACAAGGGCTCCCACCAAAATTGCCACCTCCAGATCCTCCTCCATACCCATTATAGCGATCCCCAAATCCATATTTACTTCCATATCCATCAGAACCCCCTTGAAGTTGCTTCCTGGTCCTGGTCCAAAATTGCCACCACCACCAAGAATCCCCCAAACCAAAGTTTCCTCCTTGTCTACTCCTAGAACTTTGGACTTCTCGCATTTCTTGTCTAGACAATGCCTAACTACTTCTGCATTGTGACCATGGTGTGATTTTTTTTTTTTTTGAGACAGGGTTTCTCTGTGGCTTTGGAGCCTATCCTGGCTCCAATAGTCTGATAGCCAAAGGGAAAGAAACAAGTACTTATTTGAGACAGGGTTTTTCTGTGTGGTATTGGCTGGCCTAGCTCTTGTCGACCAGGCTGGCCTCAAACTCACATAGATCCACCTGCCTCTGCCTCTCGAGTGCTGGGATTAAAGGTGTGCGCCACCAGTATCAATTTTCCCATATTCTTCAAAGTAATCTCTAAAGTGGTGTTCCTCAGTATCCTCTTTAATTCCATCAAGAAACAATTTCTTCACAGGCACATGGGCTCCTGGTTTTCCAGACTCCTCTCTTGCTACAGCACGCTTTGGCTCAACTACTCTGCCATCAATGGAATGAGGCCTTGCAGCCATGGCAGCATCAACCTCAACCATGGATGAGAATGTTACAAATCCAAATCCCCTTGATCTTTTGCTTGCAGGATCTCTCATAACCACACAGTCTGTGAGCTTTCCCTGTTGCTCATACTAGTTTCTCAAACTTTCTTCTGTAGTTTCAAAGCTTAAGCCACCAATAAAGAGTTTACAGAACTGCTCCTTTTCTGTCTCCATCGTGGACTCAGTCGCTTCAGCTGGATTTCTCGAAGCCGAGCAAGATGAGAAAGACCTCCGAGGACGCACATGCTGGCACGGGACTCGGCTATTTTGGCCCGGGACTTGAGCCAAGTGTGGTGGCACAGTCATTAATCCCAGCACTGGGGAGGCAGAAGCAGGAGGATCTCTGTGAGTGTGAGGCCAGCCTGGTCTACAAGAGCTAGGGCAGCCAATACCACACAGAAAAACCCTGTCTCAAATAAGTACTTGTTTCTTTCCCTTTGGCTATCAGACTATTGAGACAATGGACCCCAAGAAACAGAAATTTCCCCAGGAGTCTCATGCTGGGTGAAGGAAAAGGCTGCGGTGGGATAGAAATCATTCCTTAGTGGCGTACCCACTGCTAAATTACCTCTGTTCAAGTAAATTACACCCCATCCCTGAGTTCTGGTGGGCAACTCTAATTAAATGCAGTGGCCTCAGCTGGGCAGTGATGGTTGGGAGCAAGGCTTTAATCCCAGCACTCAGGAGGCAGAGGCAGGCAGATCTCTGTGAGTTCAAGGCCAGCATAGTCTACAGAGTACAGTCAAAGCTTCACAAAGAAATCCTTGCCCTGAAAAAAAAAAAAGCAGCAGCAACAACAACAAAAATGCTGTGGCCTCAAACAAACAAAAAAGACATGAAAATAGGAGGACTTTTGGGAAAGAATGAGTTTAGTGGAGGAGGTGTGATAAGGGTATATGATCAAAGCTCATCACATATATGTATATAATTGGGAATAAATAAAAGACCAGAATCCTAAGGTTAGGATCCTGAAAATGGACTTGGGGGGTTTTACTGGAGCTCTGTTCTTCTTAGAAATGTGGTCCCGCAGAATACGTCTCCCTTTTCTGCTTTTCACTACCACATGCTGGGTACGTTGGCTTCTTGAGGACAGGTGACTGAACCTGGCTAGCTCAGGACTTTCAGAGCTTGGGCTCTGTCTCACTCTAAAAGGAACACCATGCCTAGTTCCTCAGAACACTGTGACATTTCTAGGCTCACTTAGGAAGTTCTTTGGTCTCTTACCGCTGAGAACAAAGCTCCTCTCTCCCCACCGGCACTGGAATTTCTTTGTTCTGGGAACTCAGGGGGCTGGCTGGATTTTTCCTGGGGTAGAGTCCCCTCTAGCTATGCTCTCACTGGCTTCTGCGAGAGGGAAGTGGAGGAGCTGGGTGATTCATTTGGCTTCGGGAAAGGCAAAGGGCAGAGGTTCACTTCGGTTTATTTATTCATGACGGAGAGAGCTGGCTGAGAAGACACAAGAAAGCCATAAAGGCTGAGCAAAATTTAGCAAGAATTTGGGTGGCAGCCCATAAGGAAACCATTAGCTTTTCTAAAAAAAAAGGGGGGGGGGCTTAATTCCAAAGCCACAAATGAAGAAACACAATCTGCCACCTACCAGCCCAAGTACCACAATTCCAGGAAGCTAGGGAGGCCTGCTGTTGTGGCCCAGGAGCAAGCAGCGGCTGTCCTGTGGGACAAAAAGAAAACAAAGGGCAGATTCCTGCGCATGGAGTCATTGCTCACTCCTCTTCTGCTTTTTGCCATCAGGACAGGCACACGAAGCAGCCCTACATCCATCTGCTGCTGAGCCCACAGACAAAAGAAAAGCCACAGTGCTACTCTGACCTATTCCAAAAGGAACACACGGACAGGACACAGAAACAAACCGCATTTATTTCCAGGTTAAAGACAAATGGAGCTCAAAAGACTTAAGTTTCACTGTTAAAAGCCACCCCCCCCCAGGCTGCTGAGCCCAGTGTCCCAAGAGTTCATTCTCAGGACCCGCCTCCACCCTCCCCCGGCACACACAAGGTGGAGGAAAAGGCTCCCAGCAGTTTATCCTCTGGTCTCCTCAGGCATGCTATGGCACGCATGCGCCCACACACGTATGCACACTAAATCAATGGATAAATGCAATAAGAAAATAAAATAAACACTGAAAAGGAAAACTGGCTGGGGGGGTGTAGCTCAGTGGTGAAGGGCCTGACAGCATACCCACTAAAAACATCTGTGATGTGGGGCTCAAAGTGACAAGAGACAGATTCTTGGGAGTAAGCAATATAGTTATTAGAAGAGTTATTAACGCCATGGACAGACAGCAGGCACAGCAAGGATTTTGAAGAGAGGAATCCGGGCCTAAGTGGCAGAATTGGGATTGTGTGCCTCATAGATGGAGGTTCCAGGGCAGGTGCCCGGAGCCAGGCAGAAGTCAGGGAAGGGGGTGGGGAGCCGCATGTGTAGCCTAGCCTCCAATATCGCCTTTGATGTAAACTCAGGTGAGAAAGCCTGGCACCTGCAAGTCTGTGAGTGAGAGATATGCAGACAATGTCTAGATAGGGTGCTTGTCTGTGTTTGCATGGGGGAAGGGCTGCTGCAGTGTGAGCAGCTGCTGAATTCCATTACATTCTTACACGCACGTCTCAGGGTCCAGTCCCAATCACACCTACTCCTACAAAACAAATCCCAAGTGGCAGGAGTGTCTGAAACCCTAGCACTTGTAAAGCCGAGGCAGGAGAATTACTGCTAGTCTTATCGATGGTACTCGGTGAGACCTTGCCTCAATCAAACAAAACAAAGAAACAAACAAACCGAACAAAAAGACGTCCCTCTCCAAACTCTGGCTACCGGGAGTTGTGCATGTTTAACAATTTGCAGTCACGCCGACGGTTTAATGTTCATTTGCAACCATCTGGATGCTGGGCCTGAATTCTAACCCTCAGCACATACCCTTGAGACATTGTAGGGGAAAGAAATTACCTTTAAATAGGAAGCTATTGGGTGGGGGGAGAAAGAGAGAGGTGAAGAAGGGAGCGGCGGAGGAGAGAGGGTGAGGGGGAGAGGGCAATTGGAGGAGAAGGGAAGGGAGATAAGGAGAAGGGAGGAGGAGCGAGAAAGAGCAAGCGCGCTCTTAGCATTGAGTGCGCAAAGTCACGCCCCAACTTGAAAGGTTCCGTTCCCATCACAGATAAGAAACCCCACTGCTGAAGTCCCATACAGCCCCCGCCCCTGGGAGAAACGGCCACTTCCTGTTTAGTTTAGTGTCTTCCAGCTGGGGGTTGGGAGCAGTGATAGGAGCGATTGCCTGTGGCTCTAGGAAAGAATCAAAACTGCTGGATCAGGGCAACAATTGCAGCATTGCATCCAATTATTCTGCCCGCCCGCGGACAAGGCAGGGCTAATACCATAATAATACCAAGGAGGTGCGGGGCGCTCGCAGCAGGTGCTGTCATCTAGCTTCGGGTAACCACGCAGCATCCTTCCGGGGGCGGAGAAGGGGAACAGATACCAGCCTTAGTCTTTTTTTTTTCCCCCTCCTGGTGTCAGGGCTGAGTTGCGGAGGCTCCTTGATGATGCAATCGCAGTGGTGGATTTGCAGCTCAGAAGACTGAGTCAGGATTGGGCTTGGTCTTGGGTCCTTCCCCTCCCCCAGCTACTTCCTCCTCAATATCTCTCATCACTTGGGCTTTTAGGTTTTAGCGCCCTGACTGTCTGGTGCTGAGTAGTTAATCCCTTGGCAGTGCTAAGGCCTCTAAGCACACCATTCTTTCCATCCCCACCCTGGGGCTTTGGGGTGTGCGTGTGGGTCTAATCCGAGGCTACTGCAGGCTGTGGTGTGGTGTGGTGTGGTG